AGGGTGAGAAAAGTGAGTGGTAAGTGCAGTAGGGTGAGAAAATTGAATGGTAAGTGCAGTGATAGTGACTCATTAGCGGCACTATGATAAGCAGATGAGAATTTTGTTCATTTCTTGCTGTTCGATTGCGATCGCTTCCCAACAAGGTCTATGATTCAGTGGAGGATCCTCTTTGTTATATTGTCTGCAACAAATTTAACCGATCGCCAATTATCTGAAATTCTTAACTAATGATATCTCTCCGTAAAGAGAAAGGTCTATTGATAACATGTGATAATAGTGTTATCAACAGAGGTTTATTTTTGAGTACCGCCCAAGGCTTTGGTTACCTAACTGGTGAATTTTTAATGGGTATTTATTTTTAAAAAAGATTCAAAAGATCGACACTTCAATCCAAGATGTTAGCACCGACTTACACTGAATGCCATTTGCACTGTTAGTCCTGTGTCAATCTTCTTGCATAGAAAAAAATTTTCTTCAAAAAGTGATTGAAGAGTTCGCCGATTAAATATTTTCAGAGGGTGGGAAGCCCGGCGTTAGCCAGGCGAACCGACTGGTGGCATAAAAGCCATTAATAAGACGAGGACGAGCGAGGTCTCGGAGGTGTGAGGGATAGAGGGCGGTGCCCGGATAGCTAAACTACGGGTCCGGGTCCCGTTCGAGGCCGAGGTTTTGTCCAGTTTTAACTCACCAACCTTGTGAGACTTTCGCATCGCGTACTGCGGCGAAATAACAACATTTAACAAAACATCTGGTCGGATCGTGTGTATTATTCATTGCCGTTTTCAGATTAAAGGCACTGTTAACAAAAAAGTAAGGGTACCCTTTTTTTGACGGGAATAGATAGAACTACTCTAGAATAAAGCGATAACAACGAAAAAAGCGCAAAAAACGATGAACAAAAAGAGTAACAAAGAGTCAAAAAAAGAGCTGGAAAGGGGGGTTGGACGAGTTTCACATTGAAAAAACTGCGGTTAGGGAGTGTTCGAGCGAGAATGCACGAAGGCGACGCAATGTCTGCAATACAGACAACACACCCAAACAGCTGATTTAGACTACAGTCTTGAACCTGGCAATTTGCCAACCAGCTTATGGATTTTTCACCAACTTCGCTCCAGTGCGAATGTGGTGAAGGACAATTGGAACACGTAGTCAGCCTAGCGAGGGGCGGAGGCCTGACGTACCCCACTGTTCCTGCCCTTATTGTGCCCTATCCAGCCGTTTTCCGACCTCATTCCTGCACAAATGTTATCAGAGGGGGCTTAGAATTCTAACCATGTGCATATCTTCGAAACAACTTATTCGTTAACAGTGCTTTTAAAAGCTTGAAAAACATTCCAGTGAATGAGCGCTCATGATTCTGGCACATCTTGTAGATAGACAGGTAGTATATGACCAATTTCTCCATCTCTGATCTCGGTGTGACTCGATTTTACCTTTATTAACAAATATGCGTACGGAGAATTATGCATTTACTTCCTTACGTTTCCGTCTGCTTAGTTTTTTACAACCCTACGTGTTGTTAACTCTACTTTCTTCGAAATAAGGTCTCGCCTTGCCCACTTACGCTTCAAGCAGTTTTCGAGGCCCCAACCTATGGTGCTGTCTGCTATTCTCATCAAACTCCGACCAAAAAAACTCTCATGGACTGTGCTTCCTCTTAACTCGTTCGCTGATTAATTAGAAAGACGAGGTGAGATGTGTGTGAGATTGAAAAGTTCATCCAATCCTGTCTCATCCGACAGCTTAACCTTTGAAGTACAATGGGATCGAAATACGTACCCTTCCTAAACGCAGTTCATGCCCCAAGAAAGAGTTGCGCCTGGAAGTTGACATACAGAACTAGGAATATTTGATGTATACCTAGAAGTTAGGGCAATTAGGAAAATTGACAACCCGCAAGGGATGTCATGTCCACAGTAGAACTAAAAGATCCAAGTTAGAGAAACGGGGAGAAGCTGTTCCGAGGGAAATGAACTGACCATCCTGCATGTGACAAGTGTTGCAGGATCGCCGGTACAGGTAGGACCGCGTGCTAAGGCGTTGGGAGGGAAGGGGCGGGGGGGGGGGGATAGAATAACTTCCAAGAATGTAATTTCAATGGACGCGAACATTCGAGCGAAGGCTTTCCTTTGTGTGTGTGTCAGAAAAGTGACAGTGGTAAGAAAATAGATAGAGTGTATCGCATAAACAAGTGAAAAAGCAGTAGTTCCCTGCTACCATGTGGCGATGGCCTCTACGACATTACTTTATTAGGAGTTTACAGAAGATTAAGACCCTACTGTCAGTGGAGACTGTAGTTTCTGAAGTGAACCATGATGAAGGAGTGTAGCATATAGTGGATCCATCCATACTATCGGCATTTTTCCATTGTCATCGGCAACGGCTAGACAGGCCCACGCTCTAGTAGGAAACCTTCAATCATACGTGCTTTTTTTTCTGCTAAGGTAATTTCCTAGAGGGACAGAGAGTGTCCCTCCCCCTCTCCGCCCCTGCTTTAGTCGAGAATTAAAACCTTGACACCCATATTTTGGCTTTTTACCTTGTACTTTACTTTTTCAACATAATGTTTTCTTTTATCAAATGCTGTTATTTCGCCGCTTTACGCGTCACCAAATTACTGTTCTCCCTGTAGCTTCTTCTAATTAGAGCCTTTCTTCTTTGAACTGCCGACAGGTTAGAGTCGTAAAAGCCAGGTAAGAATGTAAAGGTCACATGATTGCCAAAGGACTTGTTTATTCACTTTACTACGAAACACACTTCAATCCAACTTTGTGATACAGCACAATTGGAAAAGCTCTTTGGGAGTTGGCGCTTGTTGAATTTTGCGCGCCGACACCCAAAAACACGGCGACAGTGATATTCGTGCAAGATTTCCTTCAAATGTCCGTGAAGGCAATCTTACCGAATATGGATTTAGAGAGACCAGGCGGCTACGCACGCTATTGCGTGCGCTGGGGGCTCTAGCCATAGAGGAGGGAGCCACATGAGCTTCTGATTTTCATTATAAACCTTTGTCATTCGAGCCTCTTCCCTAACACTTCTGTAGCAGCCATCATTCTTTATGGGTTTTGTGTGGCCATGAAGAGTACTCCGATGTATCTAAATCAAATTTCTCTGCAGTCCATGTAGTCGAAGAAACTGAGTACGTTGGGCTGTGTGTGCCCATGAACAACAACTTTGAAACGTGCCGACTTCGCCCACTTCTGAGATTTGACCTCATTTGGTGCCCACCCCGCTCACCTATGAGATTTGACCACATTTGTGCCTTGATACCTTAGCTCCTTTTTGCTGCATCCCAGAACGCTTCTTAGCAGAGTTATAAATTTTTGATCTAAGCTCCGCCCAATTTGGTGTCCACCCCGCCAACCCATGGGATTTGACCACATTTGTTCTTTTACTTCTATACACCTTTTTGCCACATCCCAGAACGCTTCTTAGCAGAGTTATAAATTTTTGATTTAAGTCCCGCCCACTTTAGTGCCAACCCCGCCCACCTCGGCGATTTGACCGCATTTGTTCTTTTACACCTTGACACCTTTTTGCCGCATCCCAGAACGTTTCTGAGCAAAGTTATAGATTTTTGATCTAAGCCCCGCCCACTTTAGTGCCAACCCCGCCCACCTTGGGGATTTGGCAACATTTGTTCTTTTGCACTTTAACACCTTCTGCCGCAGTCTAGAACGTTTCTGAACAAAGTTTCATTCATTTTTGAAAGTGTCTTTCGCCTCAACGCACGCCCCGCCCACCGTGGGCGGGGCTTCGCTAAGTTTATGCACGCCCAGCACGCATGAGGCCCTGCCCACTCCTTTTACTTTTTCCCTGGCCTCCGCGCCTCAATTGAATCGAGTTATGAATACATCTGAAAAGTACCGCCCATTTTAAGGCAGCTCCGCCCACAGCATGTGAGTCTCCTTCGTCGAGTTTGTTGACCTAAATCTCACCTCTGAACATT